TCATGAGGACCTATGTTCTATATCGCCCCCTGTGGTCAGCAAGCAAACAACGACTGGTGATTCCTCCATGCATGAAAACAAGTCGACTAGACATTTTTCATGCATGATTCCTTGATGGTAGAGTTATCCAACTGTATCCAGTATCACAAATCTAACTTCTTCATTTGACACAGTGATATAAGTATAGATACTGAATATTGAATATTTTATTTGATATTTTTCCAATAAGGGACTGCAGGATAGTTTAGTGCAAGGTTTCTCAACCCAGTCCTCGGGGACCACCAGACGGTCCACGTTTTTGCTCTCTCCCAATTGGCAGGGAATTGGGAGAGAGCAAAAACATGGACCGTCTGGTGGTCCCCGAGGACCGGGTTGAGAAACCCTGGTTTAGTGCGTGCTAAAGAGAAGTATTAAGTAAATTAAAAAATTGATGGAAAATATCAAGATATTTTAAAGAATATATTTAGCCCATGGATAGCTATTCAATCATATATGGTTAAATTTTATTGAAATATACATGGTCCAAAGGTCATTATTAATTGGCTTGGAGTTGCATATCTGAGTAATGACGTATAAAACCTGTGAATTCCTGTATTTCTGCAGCAGAATATGGGTAGTGGAACTAGGCCACGTTGCCGAGCCTTGGCATCCACCCGCATCTCTACGGGGTGGAATCGGAGCTCAGCTCCATCTCCACAGCTGGGGTGAGAGCGCGACCGCAACACCGCCGACGGGAAGCAAATGCAAAACCACCCGAAGCTTTCGGTAGATTCTCACACCAAGCACTCTATCACTGTCATGCCTCGTGCCCCTGAGAGTCACCACCAGCTATGCACGCAACGTGAACGGTAAGGCTGTCGCGGATGCGGCGAGCTGTGAATTATGGGACAGGGGAGTGGGATTTTGTTACCGCGACAAGGCCAAGGAGACCAATTCTGGTTTCTGTTTGTCAGCCTCCCGACACGCTGACACAGAGCTGTGCCGGTTGCCAGCAGGTAGCTCTCACGCAGAATCCTGCAGCCAGTGGAGTCCCAGGGATACCGGATCAGGGTTCGAGGGTTTTAAGTGGGAGGCCAGATGCTTGTGACACACAACTGCTGGGACTGAACTCCCGGAGAGGGGGGTCTGGAAGCTGGTTTTCCTCGATAGCCTAGCGCTACGCCGGATTGATGAAAAGCTAAGCGAGTCCCTTTCGTTTTCCCAGACGCTTCAGTGAATTAGAGCAGTTCTTTAGATATACAGCAAAATGCCCACAACCCTCATGTGCCCTTCAGATGGACAGTGGGAACCGTGGCAGAATCTCACATGAATCTCAGGGAAGCCCCAGAGAACCAGAGAAATCCCACAGCAAGTGTCCCACTATCAGATCTTCCATAATGGTCCCCCCCCCCCCTGGCCCAGACTGAGGATCAGGCCAGCTGAAGAGCATCAGGTCCTGAAAAATGAAACGCTCTGCGGGATGTGAAATCGCATCATGGCTGTAGGCAACCTGGATGGAGGGACATCCTCATTTTCTCAGAGCCAAACACTCAGAGAACAGGAAATCCATAAGCTCTTACCTCCATATTTTTAGGTCTTCTCAGAAGAAAGAATCACACAGTATAAATAGGGCAAATGTACTGCAACGTTATGGTAGAATTTTGAGTGCTGAGAAATGCCTCATTATCCCGCAGGACAAAATAACAACCTTCCCTGTGTCATCTGAGCCAGAGAGATGAGTTTACTGGCGACGGGTTATAAATACCCCAGAGGAAAGAATGGCTTGTTTTTCCTTTCAAATGCTGGGATAATTGCTGGTGATCAAAAAGGCAGGACTCCTGGCAAAAAGGTTTGAGCTCATCAATCCTGTGTAAATGGGAATCGCAACTGTCCCCCGGTAGGGCACCACGTGTTGGGGGGGGCAGCAATGACAAACAGCCCCCTCGGGCTGAATAAACACATCTCACGCGGGCAGCACTGAGACAAAAGCCATTAGCAGACCGTTAGCTCCCCTCCAGGAGAGCGGGGAGGATTCCAGGACAAATGCTCTACCTGCCTGCTGAAGGTCCAGCCTGCCGTATATGCAATTCAAGTCTTAACCACAAATCTCAATTGAATGACATTTATTTATATAGCAGACAGTTTTACCCAAATAAACATGAATTTGAGAATGTAGCATCAGACAGTCCATAGAGCAATTGGGGGTTAAGGACCCGGCTCATGGGTACTCAACACCGCCACCACTCTGTCGACCATGGGATTTGAACCAACAACCTTCTGTCCATAGGTACAGCATCCTAATTTGCTGAGTCACACACCGCCCATTAAATGTCAAGCTATGGAAGTTTCTACATTCCAAAAGGATACTTTTTTTTTATATGGTAAATAACAGAACACCATGTACAATGTTTACGATTTCTGCTCAAGATGACTAACTGGATCCATGAACCCTTAACACTTTTATAACGCTCACAATTAGTCCACATCATTCAGTGAAGGAAATGCCCAATCTGGTTTAGGGGGGTTTTATAACCCGGCTAAGTGCACAGAGTCCTTAAAGAGCACGTCTCACGTCCTGATGCCACAGAGGACATTCATATAAACATTAAAGAGACCCTTAATTGGAACCAGGGTTGCAGACTGCATCCAGACAAAAGGCAGGCGGGGGAGGCAGGCGGGGGAGGCAGGCGGGGGAGGCAGGCGCGTACAGAGATGCCCACCAAGCGCCAACGACAAACAGACCCCAGCGGCTCAACCGCAGCGCTGCAGGAGCAAGCTGAAGGTGGCAAGGTGATGGAAAGTGCTCATGCCCATGTGCGGGTCTCTATGAAAGGGGCCTACTGAGGATCACAACAGAATTGCATTTATTTTATCATGTGTTTTTTTATCCAGAGAGATAAAAGCCATGAGAAAGCTTTTTGAGAAAGCTGGCTCAGCCGGCCCATTTGCCAGCGACCATCCAGTCATGGGCACAGTAACCTAACCCTCTGTGCCACGCTCTGTCCCATGTGGACACCTCCATAAACACCTGAGGGAAGACCACTAGATGGTCGTCACCCCACCCACAGCTCCCAAGAAATAAACCAAACACAATACCTCCAAAACCTCCTCTCTTGGAGTGCCAGCAGTGATGGCTGACAGTGTAACCACACCGAAATACTCTCTCTTCTATCCAAAGTGACAAACATTTTAGGGAGAAAGCAGCGTCAGACAGCCCCTAGAGCTATTCTGGGTTAAGGGCCGTGTTGAAGGACCCAAAGGTGATGTCACTTTGCTGAGTCAAGGATTTGAACCTGCAACCTTCCGATCACATGCACAGCATCTTAACCTGCTTAGCCTGACGCCCCCCCCCCTCACTCAGCAAAAACACACCTTCTTTTATGGCAGTAAGACAGATGTTTTTTCCCGCCTTGGTCAGCATTCGTGTTTCTCATGAACCAAAGGAACACTTCTTCCACCTAACGGATGGGATTCCTCTCGGGACTCATCTTCCAGCATCAAAAGGAAGTGTGGAGCAGGCAGCCCCTGGGATGTCTCTTAGTCCCACGGGGGGGGGGGGGGGGGGGGGGGCACTGTGAACGCACTCGACAGCCTCTGAACACAAACTCTCGACACTTCGAACTGCGAATTCACATTCCTCCAGCCAAAAGAGACCGCCAGTTATCCCCTGTGTTTCCAGGCAAATGGGTCGGGGGGGGGTGTATGAGCCCTCATTTGTACTTAATCCAAAGCTGCTCGGGAAGAGCGATACGGGGTTAGACTCCTCCCCCCTCCCTCCCTGCTACACGGATACACAAACGCAACTGTAGGAAGGAGACCTTTGAGTGGAAGCTCTGCTTTCGTTTGGAAATCTAGGCATGTGCAGATGTAACGGACAGCAGGCAATTATCGCTGATGCCTGGGGGGGGGGGTCATCCTTCAAAAAAAAAAAAAGCAAATAATGGGGAGGGGGTGGGTAGATCAAAGTGCCCTTCCAGCCTATTCAGATGCGAGTGCTGCCCAAACAGCATTGTGTGCCAGCGCGGTTTGGGGGAGCGGACCACTGCTGTTCTGTTGTGGAGGAGCTACCAGTCATGAAAGAGACAATGCAGAGATCAGCGGCACCGGCCAAGCAGCGGAGAACCTTGTCCTGGGTTTAATTACAGGCGACGAGTGGGGCAGCAAAGTGGGGCAAATGAGGAACAAATGGTGCGCAAAGAGAGAGACGGGAGCTACGTTTTTTATCAGACCATGACGTCCAGAGGGATCACGTGACCACGGGGCTAAAACCCAAAAGCCTTTCAAGTAGGCCGCTTCCTGTTGAACAGTAACGTTCCCACAGGGGCGCCACCACATGACGGCGCTCTTTTGTGATTTCACATCCATCGTGATGCTCAGTCAGGAAGAGCTCCATTCACATAGGGGTGCGGTTTTTCGTGACATAGTGCTAACGCAACCCGCACGGGACTTCTTACGGGCTAAAGCCGACGCTCGCTCATACGGCGGGACCAATCACAGGTAAATTAGCCCCCACCACAGTGCACGCTGTCACATAAATGCCGCACGTGCGTCTGCATGACAACAAATGGTTTGATAGTGCAAGACCAGGAGCGCCAAGAGATACCGGAGGATCCCTGGGGACTGTGATCCGTTATCTGGTAATGTGTAAGAATTTGGGAGCCCAGTTTATCAGGAACGCTATTCAGACCCCGTGGAGATTTCCCAGCTCCACACATGGAGCATGTTCACGGGGTTTCCCAGAATGTCTGAGTTTCTCAGTCTAGAAGCAGAGGCAGGGTCCCAGCAGGAAGCTGATTGGCCCCTTCTCATATCAGTCACCACTTCAAAACATATAATTGGCTAACAATAGGGTTGGCCCAATTGTATCAATTATGGCCCTTAATGTACTACCCCCCTGACCCCCCACCCCACAATCCTACAATCCCCCCTGTTCAGATGTTGCAATGAACTGGGAGGCAGAAACACAAATAAAAATGGGGGGGGGTGAGACAAGACAGATAGGATGGGGGGAGGGGACTTACCAGGCCCGTGCAGGTGGACACGGCTATGGAGGATGCGGAGTGGTTACGTATAAATCCCTGATAGAAGCAGCCACGAATGTCCAGAGCCGCCCGGCCCGTCGTGACGCCCCCCCTGCCGACCGTGTGAACAGCAAAACCGTCCGCCAGCACCGCAGATGGCCTGAGGTCCAAGTGCAGGTCCCGCCCGAGGGCCGACAGCCTATAGTGAAGCGGACCCGGGTCTGGCACCAGCGACCGGCGCTGCCGGCTGCGAGCCACCACATCGTGAGAGATGTAGCCGCCCAGTGAGTCTACCTCCACCGGTGTCACAAACACGTAATCTGGTGAAGAATCAGACAGTGCATACAGGTCAGAGGGGATGACAAAGAAGCTCCTACTACAACACAGAGATCCTAAATCCTCTGCACCAAAATAACACTCAAAACTCCTATAATTTTTGTTCTTCTTTAGAAATCCTACGCAAAATACTTGTACATTTTCATTAAGTTGGTATAACAACACTTGAATGGAGTACAGCAAAGGATTGGAGTAGGATTATCTTGTACACTCAGCCTCACTCTGGTGCACACATGTGTGCAATCTATCCGTCAAATTAATAAGATGAGTTGTTTACAGTTCACAGATATGTAGTGCGCCACTTTTCACTCGGTGATGGGCTCACATTATAAGTATGACACACGAACAACAATCATTGATTATATCTCACGCTACAGAAGCAACTGCATAGTCCACAGTAGCTTGCATCACGCTTTTTGCAAAGAAAAAAAAAAAACATTCTGGACGCCTGCCACCCGCGCATCACCCAACGCAAACTTTTTCCTGTAAAATAACGTGGAAGCACTGACCATGGCTGAGACCGCTGGTGTCACTCATAAGCGTCCCGGTGACAGAAGACAGGGAGAAACAGACCTGCCAAGTTTAACACAACGCAGGTAAAGTTAAATAAGACTTTGACGTAAATAAAAAAGCACATGCACAAGCATAAACAGAGGTAAGAAAGGAGGGGAGAAAAACACATTTGTCACCTGCCTTCATAATATTCCCAAACCACAGCGTGGATAACTTCACTGAACTGTGGCTGAACAAGGGGACAGAAAAAGTCCATATCAAGAAAGAAAGACCATCCATGCTGACATGCGTGAAGCTCCTCCGTCCTGCCGCGATGAAAAGCGCAGAAATAAGCCGCATCGGAGCGCAATAACATTGTCAAGCGCGGCTATGAGCTGTATCCCATGCCCGTCCTCTTACGTGAAGTCCATCGATCCCATCTCGGTTATGCGCATGTCGGGACAGGTAGACTGAACTGCTGAGACACCGTGTGAGACACCGTGCGGCGGCAGCAGCGGCGGTCCCGACGGGAGGGGGGGGCATCGGCCAATCAGCGCCCAGCCCCGCGCAGCGCTGTCAGGGGGATCAAAGCGGAGCGCGCCCGACGCCGTGGGAAGCTCCGCTTTATTCGGGTTACATTCATATATTCATATATTGCGTGCGCGTGCCTTGCTTTGCTTGAAATGCAAACGTATGCATGCGCTTTTAGTTATAGCAGAGCAGGGACTATTAAGATTTGCCTGTTCCAAGCAAAGTTCAATGTTTTGGTCAAGTGAATTTTCAACAGTGGAAAGACATGATTTTCCAATTTGTCTTGTTAAATCCATTCATCTATGCATGCATCCATCCATCCATTCAACTTTGTTCGATCTGCTTATCCAGTACAGGGTCTTTGGGTGGGGTGGGGTGGGGGGAGGGGGACTGGGAACAGGGCAAGAGACGCCCTGGACAGGATGGTGGTCCATCAAAGTGCACAGAGATATTAGCTTGATGAGATTGAAGCTGCTACCTACAGTAACTACCTGAAGGAAGCCACGTAAGGCTGGGAGGAAAGCGGAGCCTGCACACTTAGAGCAGGAGTGAGATTAATATCCCCAGTCCTGATATAAAGTTAAACTGCAATCCTGTGAGCATTACCCAGGAGCAAACCTAACTTAATCAAGATCACCCCCCCACCCCCAATATCTGAGTCACTCTCCATCGTCCTAGCTCATCTGTCTGCCAGTCATGCAGCATGTGGAAATCACAGAGGTTGATTTACATAACAAACTTTCAGACTTCTTTGTTCCTTTTTTCCAGATTAGATTCCGTGTTTATGTTTGCAAATAATAACACCCCTGAAATGACATCTCACTCTGGAACCATTAAAGCCTGATGCACGCACACGCAGTCTCCAGGCAGGCCGAAACATCGCGCTAAATCATTACACTCAATCAGGCAGCAAAACACAAACACTAATGTCTGTATTATTGAGCAGTAAATCACGTCTCAAAAACCAAGCGCTGCTGTACATTCTAATAAACATGTGACCTTAATTGCTTCATCCAGACCAGATTTAGATGAGAACAGCTCATCCATCACAGACACCTCTGTCATTAGACAGCCCTCCATGCTTGTTTTGGTAAACGTCAGGACAGATACCATGGGTTTGGGGGGGTCAAACCACTCACAGAAAGCCAACATGCCTGCATATGCAGACTCGGGGCCTTTGTTTATCGATACTGTAATCTCCCTCCGAGAGCGTGGCCTGACCAAGGCAGGGACGATGACCACGGGAGTCCCCGAAAATGCCCGGCCCTCGCGATGCGCTGCTGACAGAGAACTTCAAACAAAGGTTCACCAGCCCAGAATCCTCGGGCTTAGAAGTCTGTGAGTCATCTCCTGCCCTCCTTCAGAGACAATCGGCTAAATGGTTTGTTTGTTTCCTTGCCTGGGGTAAATGCACGGTTCCCCGTGTTACATGCACCGCAAGCTGCTCACAGGATAAAAGTGAGTAAACATGGTATATGTTATGGTCAGCTTACCGTGCATTCTGGCACAGTCCTCGATGTCCCTTTGTACCTTCCAGAATAGTAATTTACATGTGTTGTGTGTGTGTGTGTGTATGATTCTGTATTATTACACAACTGATGATGAGATCCTCAGAGGCCTTGCGCTTGCCACCACATCTCTATGGTGTGTTTGTGATAAGCTTTTTGTGTCTTGTTGGTTTCCTCCAAAATCTCTAGATTATAACAGAATAGTGATACTATATTCACCCCTGTGGGGAATCTCTCTTTTCACCTATCCTGTCATGCCCTCGAGGAGACTCACAGATACATACAGCCGTGGAAAAGAATTGAGACCACTGCACAATTTTCTGTTTCACTCACTTCTCAAGTTATGGGTGTGCGTCTGTGAATAATATATTTTTTTGTGCCAACTGCAGCCTGGCTCTTCCCTGCTTCTCATTAATGAAGGGCTTCTTCCTGGCTTTATGGGACTTCAGTCCTGTTTCTAGGAGCCTGATGCGAACTGTCCTAGCAGTGCACTTCACACCTACACTTAATGTTTCCCATTCTTTTTGAAGGTCATATGATGTCATCCTCTGATTAATGAGAAACTGTCAAATAAGTTAGCGGTCATCCCTGGCATTAGGAAGTCGCTTCTGCACTTTACTTGGCTGGTTTCTGGTCATCCCCAGTGTCTCCTGCTTCACCTTATTCTTGTGTCTTAGAAATTTTGAACCTGGAAGCAGCGAAGTGACCCCAAATGAAGCTTGGGGTCCAAGCACAGGGTCAGTAAGAGTGCAGTGGCCCCTGGAGCAGTTGGAGGTTAGGGGCCTTGCTGAAGGGCCCAAGGGCAGCATGAGTCTGCCTATCCTGGGATTCGAACCCACAACCTTCCGACCACAGAAACTAAACTGAACTGCTTGTTCTGTGCATGTACATGCTCTGAAAAGGACTGGCATCCTGCCCCACCTTTCTCCCTGCCATTTGCTGTCTAGTATAGGCTCCATGCCCCTGTACCAGACAATAGGATGGATCTATGCCTTTTCTCTTGAGGTTTGTGTTGGGTAGATTTCCAACATCAGGTCTGATTGTCTGACTTCTGAGTCAGCTTGGAGATGTGTTCTCTGTATGTGTTAACAAATCAGGTCAAACTTGCATGTGATTTAATACCCTTTTGTTTCTGTAAGGTTCGAGCAAAAGGCAAACATTAGCGTGGGGTCCCCCTCATCCCGGTGTCCGTCAGAACGTGTCTATTCAGCCCTTACAAATTACGGAGTAGAAGCCTTCAGTGTCACTTTCAGGTCAGAAATGTTTGATGTTGTCAATATTATCGGTTCCTCCCCTCGTAAATTTTCTCTCTGACAGGGAAACTTGTTTCTCACCCCCATTACAAATAGCTTTGCTGGGGGACAAAACATTTGGGCGAAAGCATGTGAATAGCAAATGTTTTTCATATTTATGAAATATTGCAGAGAAGGGGGGTGGCATGGTGATGCAGTGGTTTGCACTGTTGCCTCACAGCTCTGGGACTTGTGTTTGTGTCTCCACCATGGCTCCGTGTGTGTGGAGTTTGCATGTCCCCCCCCCCCGTTGTCATCATGGGGTTTTCTCTGGGTACTCTGGTTTCCCCCTCATAGTCCAAAAACATGCTGAGGTGAATTGGAATTGCCATATTCCCCATAAGTGTGCATCTGCGAGGGAATGGTGTGTAAGTGTGCCCTGTGATGGGTCGGTGCCCCATCCTGGGTTGGCGCCCCATGCTGGGTTGTTCCCTGCCAACTGCCCACAGGCTCCAAGCTCCCCTTGCAACCCTGAAAAGGATAAGCAGTTGCAGAAGATGGATGGATGTGGAGAAAGATGCACATGTTGGGTTTAAAACTTCATGCCAACTTCTTTAATGTGCCCAGATCCAAAATAAACCCAGTCTATGTAATAACATGTGTACCTCTCTCTGCAACAAAGCCTCAGTAGGCATGTCGGCCACAGCAGAAGAGTCTGGGAAGGGATGCATTCTTTTGGCTTAAGGTCCGTCGCAGCCTGTAAAAATAACCGTCGTATCCCTGTTAGCTCCGACGTCTGGGAAGCACGGCGCTCACCTCTCCTGCTCACATCCCGCTCGGCTGACATCTCTCTCGACGAGCGGCGTGCCGTCAGGAGTCTCTCCGGCCCAGCGGGCTGTCACCGGATCGAAAGCACGGCACATCCTCATCCCCCCCCCCCCCCCCCTCGCGCTGCCCGGCAAGACGCAGGTGTCAGACGCTTCTCCAGCAGCCGCGAAGCCCTGTCAAACCTGGAGCCCCCCCTCTCCCCCAGGCAGAAAAAGGCGGCCCGTCGTGTCACGCTGCAGTGAACTGTTACTCTCGACAAGCAGATGACAAATCTCAGAATTCTGTCTGTAGGATTGTTGGGGGGGGAAGAAAACAGCCCCACTGCCTCATGGGGATTTTCCTGCTTTTTATGGAGAATAGCAGCACTGTCTAGAACAGATGTTGTTCGTGAGAGTGAAACGTTACACTGCACACTGCCTTTAGTCCACTGGACAGGGCTTTTAGCAGAACTCTATTGCCTAAAGCAAATATTTGGCTGGTGGGATGTGTGTCTTAAAGCTGGTCAACGGTGTAATTATATGAACCCCTCAGGGGGGGGGCAGCAATTGATGACCTTTGGGCGGACGGCATGAACACAGCCTCGACAATGTCCAGGACAAAAGGGCGAGATCCTGGCATTCTTGGGGTTGAGAAAACGAAATATACGTTTCCTCCAATTAATCACCATGTCAGACTGTCTGATTCTTCTCGCCACCCAGGAGAGCGTCAAATCCAGGTTGGTAACCAGTATAATTTGCGCAATCAGTGTTCAATCCCCTGCCACACCATTAAATCCAGTAAGCTCATAGACCCTGTATAGCAAATCATGTCATTTCTGTGTTTTAACTGCAGAATTGCACATAAATGCAGTTCATATATGCATTACTTATTGCAAAATGATGAAATAGATATAACTGCTATTCACAATATACTTATTACTTATTATTTCATCATTTTTTCCATTCCATGCTGCTTTGACTGTTGCTATAAATTACATGCAATATTTCGTGTGTATCTCCTTGCAAATTGTCATACCTGGACACACCTGCTTTGAATGACCATAATCACGCATGACATAACTCCAATCATTATTTTGAAAAAGTGAAAATGAAAATACGCGTATGCAACACGATCAGCTCTTTCTCTTTTTCGCATGGGCTAAAGGTTGCTTTAAATAAATAAATAAAGTCATCCGTCAGCGTGACTTGAGTCTGTAACTGTGACGACAGAGTCTCAGGGAAGGAAAGTGAGAGGAGATCAGAGGGGAGACGTGAGCGTACAGATGTGGTGTGTAAGTGTATGCACCATGGGATCTCTCAAGACTCCAGGCATTCGCAATGTGCCTTTTAACCCCCCCTC